TCAAAAATAAACATTAAAATGATCAGGTTAAAAACAGTTCAATGTTTAGTGGAGAGATTTGAGCATGCTTCAGTCCCTTCAAGAAGTGGGGAGTTAGGCCAATCGGAAGAGACTGAATGTACACATCCATGGGATTTTCCAGGAGCCCTCGGCATGGAGAAAGGGTACAAGTATGTGCTCTAGGGAGGTATTTCCCTGGACAGTGGGAGGACAACAGGCGGGCAAAGAGTTGAGGGCACGGGCAGAGAGCTTAGCCATGTCGAGTCCTGGACCCCAAGCAGGGTGGGGGTGGGGAGGGCGGGAGAGCAGAGGGGAACGCAGGGGTGGACGGCAAAGATGAGGACACACACACAGGAGTCAGTGAACACTGAGCAACAATCTGGGCAAGGATGAGGTCCTTCATCAAGTTGGTGTCTGACTCCGTGAGTGATCCTCAAGTCGGAGCAGGTGTAGCTGTGGGCAGGCTGAAGGTGCGGCTGAGGGAGGGAGGGGTGCCTGAGGTGGAGGGTCGAGGCAGTGAACTAGGTGGATGAGCTCCAAGTGGATGTCGACGTCACCCAGTGACAAGGAGGACAATGAGCAAATGAGGGGAATGAATGGAAAGGAGAAGAAAAAGCTGGTGGAGCCGCGAGACTCGGAGGAGCAGAGGTTCCTAACAGCAAATGAGAGAACGAGGGTGAGGAAGGGGGAACAGACACAAGAAGAGCTTGACCTTGAGTTGGCGAGGGATGGTGCCCTTAGGAAACCACAGATTTGGGTCACAACAAAGAGGATGCTCTCATCACAGAAGATGTTCTGAAAGGCTGGAAGAACTGGAGAATTGCTGATACATCACACAGATATAGTACTAGAGCGAGCAATGGGTGAAGGGAGTCAAGGGGTGTTAGCTCAGGGTCACAGGCAGTTCTAGAAATGGCAGTGCAGTAGAGGAGCCTTTAAGAACAGCATTCTGTGCCTCCTGATTTCCATCCATAGTTTGGAAGAGCAGTGCCTGAGACGGGCCAGCTGGAAGAGACTGAAGTCTAGGCGCTCGTCGGGGCAGGCTTACCTTCCACATACAGTAGTTGGTACTTGACTGAGATCTGAGACTTGCCCCCAGCCTCCGCCTTGCAGTAGACCACCCCCTGGTGGTCGGAATGAGGTTGCAGATACACAAAGCCCCTCTTCATGTCGTAAACAATGTCTGTCCCATTGGCTGGGATTTCCTTGGCAGGGAACTCCCTGTGGAGGGTGACTCTGGCCGACGGGACAGTCACTCGACAAGGAACCACAGCCTGCCTGTCCGGGTTCAGGTAGACAACATCAAAGTAACTGGGAGAAGGTACAAAGAGTTCTCCTTTCTCTGCGAAGGGAAAGACAGAGGTTTGTTTTTTCTGGAGAAACAAGGTAAGAGCGCTTGAAGAATGTTTACATTCTACGGGCACAGAGAGGGGACTGGCAATATACTCAGATACTGAGTCTTTACGCATAGAAAAAGCTACTCTTCAATGCTTTTCCTTTTTTGTAAAAAAAAGATTTTACTGGGGCGCCTGGGTGGCGCAGTCGGTTAAGCGTCCGACTTCAGCCAGGTCATGATCTCGCGGTCCGTGAGTTGGAGCCCCGCGTCGGGCTCTGGGCTGATGGCTCAGAGCCTGGAGCCTGTTTCCGATTCTGTGTCTCCCTCTCTCTCTGCCCCTCCCCCGTTCATGCTCTGTCTCTCTCTGTCCCAAAAATAAATAAACGTTGAAAAAAAAAAAAAAAGATTTTACTTCCCATCTCCTTAAAGGCAACAAAAAAGTATTAGTTGAAGCCCAAATCAGGCCCATGAATTACCCCAATAAGGAAGCAGGGAAGGAGACGGGTTTCCTTAGGTTAAGAGCAGTTTTAAAACCTGTGAGCAGGGGCACCTGAGTGGCTCAGTCAGCTGAGCCTCCGACTTCGGCTCAGGTCAGCGATCGTACGGTTCCTGAGTTCAAGCCCCGCGGCAGCACCATCGGGGCTCAGTGCTTGCAGCACGGACCCTGCTCTGGATCCTCTGTCCCCCTCCCTCTGCCCCTCCCTGGCTTGCTCTCTCAAAAACAAGTCAACATTTTTTAAAAAAACAAAACCTTGTGACCAATTTGCTGTGTCTCTGGCGAAGCCCCAAAGCCTGTACTCAGTCACTGGAACAGTTCTCCAGCACAGCAGAGCCTCTGGGAGGCCCGGGTCACTGAGGGCACTGGTACCCTCGCCTGTCCCTACAGCCCAGAGGACGGTGTTCCTGCCACAGCTACTAGAGAATTAAGGAAGGTCACATGAGGGGCCCAGTGGCCTCAGGTTCTGAATTCTGCTTGTCTAACTGTGGGCTGGGGAATTCAGTCCGTTTCTTATATCCTCCAGTTTCCCCTGAAATCATTATCCCTATACCTTAAGTTCTAGATGATGGCACTGGCTCTTACAGAAGTGAGAGAAACGAGGACTGGGTTGCCCACACAGTCATTCCTCAGGATGCTCAAGGGACTGTGGGTTAGAGTATTTTTTTTTTTTAATTTTCTTTTGGCATGGCACATTGAATCCTCTGTGTTGTGGATGCTAGTGTGAGGGAATGCTACAGGAATTGCTAAGAGAAATCTTTGAACTTGATCATACCCCAACATTTAATTGTTTCCTATGTTTTTCCCACAACGTTCCTGATACAAATCATTATTCCTGGCTTTTTCCTTCACTAGCCCTCTTTGTGCCACATTCATGTGATGTTTTAGGTTGGTGACCTATTCTCAGACACAACATCAAATGTCTCCGTGGGCCAAGATTTCTTTGGCTGGGAGTGCCAAGTTCACTGACATGGAGGTCCTTCCCCGGCTCTGAGATCAAGGAGTATGCCATGGCTCAGGGAACCTCCATCTTTTGCAAGGCTTTCTATCAGGCTGGGTGATGTGCGCCACATTCATGATAGATTGACTTTCAGGCTTAGTTAAGGGGCACCTTGGTCAATGTTGTTTCTAACACCCATGTGTTCACACAGAGTAAGTCTATATGGCCTTGGATGGGTCAACTTAATCTCTGCTTCCACATCCCCATTTGGAGAGAACAGAATCTCTAGGACTAAAGATAGCTTTTGAACAAAAGCCCTTCAGGAATTTCTGATTCTAAGATTTAGAAGTAACTTTTCTTTTGTTTTACAGAGGAAACTGAACCAATAAACAAAACCAGTAGATTAAGTGAACAATCCAAATTCTAGAACACAAAAATGTGGTCTTACTTCTTGTTACTGTAAAACAATCTTTGAAAGAAGTGACCTCACCAGTTGCTTTAACCAACAGAAAAAAAAAAAAAAGAAATTCGTAAGCAGATTCCATCTACCAACAACAAAAAACTTTACTGAAGTTCATTTAAAAAAATTTAGAGTACACATGCCTCCTGCAAACATGTTTGTATGTATTCAAGTCAATGCTGAGCGTTACTTTAAGAAAACTAAGCACATGGAAATTTAGATTTCAAAAAAAAATCAAATAGGCTACAAAGTCCAAATTTCAACAAACCCCATATTTAGTAAAATGCTCATTAATGTGGTTTCACTACATATGATCATTGGAGCCCAAGCCTTTTGCTATGAGACAGCTCTACCGCCGGTAATGTTCTCCTCCTTGATCTGGATGGTAGTTAATATGTGCATTCATTTGAGGTTAATTTATTGAGCTGTATACTTATGACTTGTGTAGTTTTCTTTGTATATATTATACTTCAATAAAAAGAAAAACCTTCTGAGAGCCTTTCGGATAAAGAGTCATTATAATATGTGGCAGTTGCTTAATCAAAAACCGCGCAAATTAACAACAGTCGAAAAGAGGCTTCATGGTGTTTGCAACCAAACTCTGGGAAACCTACAAACATAATGAATACCAGACGTTTCTCTATGTGGGTCGTGGGGAAGCATATGTTCTGAAAGAATCGGAGCCAGGAGCAGGAGGCTCAGCTTCCGAAACAGCTCATCTTGGTTTTGCAAACCCACCCATGCCTGAAGAGACAAATGCTAAACCCTGGACTGAAAATCCAACTGGCCTCTTGCCTTGCTATTGAGAAAAGAGAAAATGATACAACACATTAGGTCATGCCCCTTTTTGATCCAAGTTTCTTCACAATTGAAGTAAATAGTTTGGTAAATATTTTAGCCTTCCTTTGATTCCCTAAAGAGCTGCCCATAAATTAAGAACGAGGACCTAGCTCCAAAACTCAAAGAGAGCCCTTTAACCCTCATGGGGCATTCGGCTCAAGGGAAGTCTTCAGTTCAAACTTTCAATTCAAAATCCAATCTTTTAGAAGGACACGATAGTGCTAATCATGGCAAAGAATCTTGAACCTGCAGTGTGAAATAGGGTATCAGTCCTTGTCCAGAAAAACAGGCTCTAAAGGCACATGAGCAAGTCTGTGCAACACATTCCAGAATGAGGATCAGAAGGGATTACCTATGAACAACTGTTAGCCATTCGCCTGACAACACCAGTGATGCTAGCTGGTGTCTTTCTGCCTGTCTATCAATCTACCCACCACCTTGTCCTAGAAACAGATTAGGGCAGTAAGAACATTAGATCCCAGGTCAGAAAAACAGGGGCTGACTCTTTACTCCCCGTTACCAGTCATGGAATCCTGACCAAGTCACCTTGCCCTTCAAGGTCTCAGCGTCAGCATCATTATTTCTAAAACAGAGATGGTCAAATAGCTTCTACTTAGTTCCTAGGGGTGTGGTAAAAATGAAACGAGATACATGTGACTCCAACACGGTAGAGTGCTCTGCTAACGCATCTTCTGGCTGGAGAGGAGCTGTGTGGGTGGGAGGGAGGGGAAACATTCGAGATTTTGCTACCATTCATTAATGGCCAGCGCAGAAGATCATTTGGGTCCTAGGCCTAAGTCACTGTAGGTCCGAAAGGCGGAGGGAGTCGGGATGTAGACAGCGCTCATGAGAGCCCCTGCCTGGACACGAAGCAAGCATTGTGCATTTTTAGGCCCTTCACTCAGCGCAGGGATCGGGGCTGGAGCCACAAAGCCCACAGGCTTTGGGAATCGTGCCCCCAAAACTTCAGCTCACAGTACGCTAAGAACAAATACGAGGAGGCCTTTAGCGAAGCATCGTACGGCCATGGAGGCTCTAGAAAGATCATCATGGGCCCTGAGAGCACAGTGACTACACGTGCACAGCAATGTTGCCCAGTAGAGCTTTTTGTAATGACGGACGTGGTCCCTGTCTGCAACGTCCAGGAGAGCCACGAGCCGCATGTGGCAATGGAGCACGTGAAACAGGGCGAGTGGCCCTCAGAAAGTGAGTTTTAAGGGGTTTAATTTTAAACCATTTTCACTTAAATGTAAATAGTCACACATGCCTAGTGGCTGCCATATTGGCCAACGTAGGTACAGACTCAGGAATCAGCCCGGGTTCGAATCCTAGTACCACAACTTACCTGTGTGACCCTAAGGAGGTATTTCATTTCGCTAAAACTCTACTTCCCAACGAACACAAGAGAAATGACAGGAGTGCTTCCCCTGGAGGGTCGCTGGGGAGACTTACACGAAATAACGGACATAAACTGACAGAGCCTGGCACACAGGAAGCGCTCTGATCGTCACTGTTAGGTACTCGGCACCCAGTTGGAACCTGTACCTCTGGGCCGAGTCCAGAATACCGAAGCGTCCCACCGACACGCCCAACGGTTTACCTGTAAAAAAGATGTAGGTGGAGCCGGTTTTGGTCTCGTCCTTCCTGCAGACGTAGCCCTGGCAGAGCTGTCCCCAGCAGCTAAACTCGCCCGTGTCCGCGGCCGTGGAGTTGACCAGAGTCAGCTGGCCATAGCGCTCGTGCTGCCTCACGCTGTCAATGGAAGCGAAGCCAGCTCACGCGGGGGGGCCCCAGCAGGTGCTCTCCCCTCTGCTGTTCCCCACCGCAAATCCCCCTGGCTCTGCGGGCTGGCCTCTCTCAAGCGGCACAAACTAGTAACAGCACGTTTGGGGGAAAAGTGTGTGGAAGGGTAGGGGGCGGTCAGAGAGAGAAGCTTCTAAAAGGAAGACGTGACGTTTACATTTTATAACGAGAGGGGATTCTCTTCCACCTCAGCGCCGGAGCTTCCCTAAGTAAAATCACTGGTCCATTAGCAACGCAGCCACAGAAAGTCAGCCAAAGAGCCTTTGCTCCTAATGAACGCACTTAAAGAGCAGTCAACATGAATGAAAGCACACACCGTGGGCCACTGTGAAAATCTCTTGGATCAGTAAAGAGAAGGTTCTGAACATAAGCTTGGGATCTTTGAGATGCCACATTTCATAATAAAAATGCAAACTTTCAGGGCTCCTGGGTGGCTCGGTCACTTAAGCGTTTGACTTTGGCTTAGGTCATGATCTCACGGTTCATGGGTTGGAAACCCGTGTTGGGCTCTGTGCTGACAGCTCAGAGCCTGGAGCCTGCTTCGAATTCTGTGTCTCCCTCTCTCTCTCTGCCCCTCTCCCCCACTCTCTCTCTCTCCCCCCAAAATAAATAAACATTAAAAAATAAATAAATAAAAACTTTAGGGGAAAAATGCTTGGTTGCTAAGATTTACTAAGCCCCAGTTATGCAGCCCACCTCTGGTACAGTGCTTAGAACATTTGAGCATTTAACTTTCCTCTGACCTCACACTATTATTTCTACTTATATTTTCTCATTTTGCAACTCTTGCATTTTTAGCTTGTTCATGTGAATATATTTGCAAACTGCTTCAGTTCCTTCTGGAATAAGGAGAGACATAAATATTAATATTGAACTCTATCACTAGCTGATGATAATGGTGATTCAGTGTATTATGTTGTGACAGGAATCCAGATGTATCATCAACGGGAGACATATTCCCCTGTGGCTTATGAGCCTCTGCACGTGGGCATGCCAATATAAATGGTTTTAATCCAAGGATGCATCTCAAATAGCCAAATGGCTCACCCCTCTGAGATCCACATACTTTTGTGACGTAGCTGAAACTCTCCTGTTGTGCTTTGCAACACCATCAGTGAGGTAGCCACACTAAATTTAGCACACAACCAATGTCTGGTTGGTTGATCCTAAACACAGCCCTGTTCTGGTTGACCGCTGAATAGCTGCTTTCCCCACCAGGGCCTCTGTACTCCCACACCATCAACTACGTCCTTTCAAGGGAACGGAAATCTCTCCCCCTTCAGGAAGCTTTTAATTAGAATCAACTCTCGCTTTCTCCTAATGACGTAATTAGCCCCCTTGTTCTCTATCCCTCGGATACCCATGGCTTCCTGTTATTACAATGGATGGCAAAAACTCTGAGGGCGGGGACTGGGCCATATTTGTTTTATATTCCCTCAGCAACAAATCTGTGCACAGTACACAGTAAAGATTCCCTAGAAATGAGTGGAGTGAAATTGAATTGAACCACAGGGTTGAAAGTGGAAGGAACCTTAAAGAGAAGGCACCCATCCAGTGATGTGTGGGAAAAAAAGAAAAAGGCGTCCAGCTCTCAGCACTGCAGATGAAGAAACTGAGTCTCAGAAAGAAGTGACTTCCCTGAGACCCACAGCTAGTGGACGCTGAGTCAATTACTTAAGTGAGTGAAGTATGTACTCATCAGAGAAGCAAACACATGTAAAGTTCTGCATGCCATAACAAATTCATTGCATTCTTCTAATGGTGGCTTAATTGCACATAATTGCAGTAATTACTAGTAGTAATTATTGTGAATACCACTACAACAATGACACATACTACATACCCCACGGCGGAGATAGCACAGCAAATAAAAAACAGTGGACCTCAAGGATATTACAGTCCAGGTAGGTAGTTAAAACTAATATACACGAAAGGATCAGAGAATAAGTAAACGAGGACAATAGGAATTCTGAAAAGGGATTTATCCCCGTGGGTTGAAGAGGCTGAAGGCAGCTTTGGGGAGGAAGTGAGACACGCCGGACCTTTAAAGGCGGGGGTGGAGAGGCAGGGGCAGTGAGCTCACTTGCTCAGGAAACTACAGTCCCGGGAGGGTTGGGACCAACCTGGTCTGCTCCTCTTACTGCACCCCCACGGCCTGAGTGCATGGTGGGTGGAAGGCACTCAATACCGATTCGAGGATTTAACGTATTCGCCACAGAGGACACAGAGGGAGGGGGTTGGGAGTCACGGGGCATTTGGTTGAGAACAGGCAGCAGGGACCACCCTCAGGTGTGGAGGTGGGAAGTGACGGCACCTTAGCCAGCGCATGAGGTGGGCGAGGGAGAGGCAGGAGGAAGAGGGGGAGACTGAGAGCCTGTTCCTGTGATGAACGGCGCGGCCAGTGCTGGGGCCGGGCCGGGTGCTGGCAGAGGAACAGAAGCAAATTTAAGGCATGTTTTTCTGGGGGACATTTATGACAGACTGGGTATAAGAGGTGGAAGAAAGAGATATATCAGTAATGACCACTCAATTTGTATTTCTATGTGTTAGAAAGACTGGGGCTTTAACCAACTGAGACGGAATCACCAAGAAGAGAAAGGAGACTAGGGCAGGCAAAATAATAGAGCCACCATTGAAGACTTTGAATTTGTGATGAAATGTGGGTCACCAAAGTGTGGATGCTAGTTGATGTGGCACTTGGAAACACAGGCTGAGTCACAGAGGAGATAAAACAGCGCTAGATTTGTATTTGGGGGAGTCATCTACAAAGGAGTAAGAGGAGAAGCTAAAAGAAAGAATGAACTCAACAAGGGAAAGCATAGAGAAGAGGAGAAGTTTGAGGACAAAATCTAGAGCAAACTAGAGTCCACCAGGGCAAGAAAAGGTAGACAGAGGACAGAAGAATCAGGAAAAGGTATCATCAAAAAGGAAGATTCAAGAAACGGATGCTCGAAAGCATCAGATACCTTTAAAAGAGATTCCTGCCCCTCCCCCCCCCACTTCATTTGGCAGAATCAAAGTGTTTGGCAATGACCAAAAATGTAATTTCAATTGTGAGGATACAGCCGGCTTTCAGCAGATAAAAAAGTAGAAAGGTGGAAAGAAAATGGAGGTGGATGTCTTCCTAGGTGTACCAAAATATCTGACCACATTCCCTATAGAGCTCAGAACTGGGGTACAAAATCAGCATTTAATTGATCAACATATCAAGCACCTTCTGTGGACCCAACATTTGCTAGCATCGTAGTGATAGAAAGTATTAGATGCCATTCCTACTAGGAAAGTAATTGGGCACAAAGAAATTTAGCACTTGGGAATAACCCTACCACCATGAAATCTGCATGCTGTATCTTTAGCAGGATTGGGGGTGGAAGGAAGGAAATGCACTGGAAAACATTTCTGGATTTTTCCACCCCCTCTTGTATGCAAACAATATAAAACAGGAAACAAATTATTTAGTAGGATTACAGTTTAAATGCCTGGATTTAAAATGTCCATTTCTTCTAATGGTCTCACATAGTCCCAGCAGCGGTTTCCCCAAAGGGGTGGACTATGACCTAAGGCCTCTGGGGGCAGAGTCTGCAGGATAAAGTGGAGACAAGGACTCAATGAGCCCTGCAAAGCCCTGGGAGACCCTTCATCCAAGTACTCTCTCCTTTTCTTGTAACACTTAACAAATCCCCAGAACAGTGGATGGTGTAAAGTTTGAGTGGAGCAAAAAGGTGCTGTGACCAAGTGCCCCCCAAAAGTATATTTAAGATTAAGTAGAATTTACACTAATTGGCTCAGCTTAGGTCTTTCTCTTCCAAACATGCACTTCCAGACCTGACCCACAGTAAGCTCAGTGAAGGACAAGTCAACATTTCAAAGAGTATTCAAAATTTAGAACTATGTATGTGTGTGCATCATGTGTGTATGTCTTCCGGGGAGGTCCCGTGGCCTTTACACACAGTCCATTCCCATCAATGGAGGCTTGAAGCTTCGAGCATGTTGCCCATCCTACTCTCTTCTGGAGGGGTAGGTAGGGATGCTATATCATGGGATGGCATAGAGGAGGAGGTTGACAGCTCTCAAACTTAGGGACCACTGTTGATCTCACCTGGGGCAGTGACCAGGTAAGGGTGGTAGGGTCTATGCTCCTATCCTTTCCCTAGACCCTACAAGCCAAGGGCAGGAGGTAAGCCCTCGATTACAAAATAACTAGTCACCGGTCCCATAAATACTTAATGAGCAGAAGTTAAATGGGAGATTCTGAAGTGCACAGTAAGAGACACAATGATACTTAAGTAGTGTGCTTCTCTCAAGTTCCCTCTACACAAAATGCCATGGGCAGGCCAAGGAGGGTAACCAGCAAAGCTTCAGGGCTGAGAGAATCTTAGGGAAAGAGAAGGACTTTCACATGCACAAAATAGGGGGCATGCATTCCAAAGGAATGAGATCCCCTGAAAAGAGACAAAAGGCAGTTTGGTGCCTGGCAAAGAGATCTTTGACTGGAACGGAGGTGGGCAGAGGTCTACGGTGAAAGGCAGCAGTCATGGGAGGCATAAGATCTTGGACTTTGGAGACACAATGACAGGATTCAAACCCTAACTCCACCATGACCTTGAGACTCCTTAGCTAGGAGACTTGGAGCTCATGCCTTCTACATTCTGGCTACACCTACTTCCTCAGACTTGAATTAACAGCAACAACAGCTAACGCTTGGGAGTGCAGGCTTTGCACTAAGCCTTTTGGATAAGTTCAAGACTTAGAACAGTGTGTGGCACAGAGTAAGTGCTTCAGACATTTTGTATATAGCTATTATGATGGCCCTCTGCTTTTCGTGACCACATTAGGAGGGAGGTACTATTTTTCCTCTTTTACTGATGAGGACACTGAAACTTAGAGAAGTACTTTGTCCAAAGTCTTCCAACTGGGAACAGTAGAGCTTCTAATCCTAGTGTCACAAA